AAAAAATCACTCCGTGCCTCATTTTCCCCACCTGGCTCACGGATGGCCTCATAAGCTCACAGTGGCCCTACCACGGGAGTAGAGGGGCAACGTGTCTGCTCAGAAGTCACACTGAATTTGGGGGGGCCCCGCCCCCAGAGGGGTGCTAGAGGAGGACCTCTGTCTCAGTGTCTAGTATACTTTTCCTGACGAATTTCCCACGGAAAATCAAGTTCGAGTTTGAAGCAGCCTTGTCCTTTTTAAGATAGAATATAGATACATACAAAATAAGATATAAAATAAGATAGCTCTCAGGGTATGACGATCACAAGGACCACATGGACAAGAAGCAGATGGGGGTTGCTTTGGGACAGGGCGGGAGTAGGGGTGACAGCAAACAGGTACAAAAGAGTCTGAGGTGATGGAACCTTCTAGAACTGTGCATGCAATTCTGGGACTGTACTAAAATGAACAAAACTGCCCTCTTACAACTGGTGAGGCGTGTGGTGTGTAAAGAGCCGGCTAAGAAACCATTAAGAAGAAATAAAGCACCCACGTCTACAGCGCCCAGCAGGGTGCCGACACGGAGCCCGCTGGTGGCCATCTCGGCCACGTGCTCCTGCCGCCCCAAAAGGGTCCTCCCTGAATTTCGTGTTCATTATCTGCCTTTCGTCTTGGTTTCGGCACACAGATGTGTTCTTTTAGACAGCACGTTGGGCTGGTTTGCATGTTGTTGACATTCACATGTTGTGTGTCACGCTGCGTGTATTTTTCCGCTACTCACTTTTTTGGGGGATGAGTTTCAAGTTTGGGACTGGACGGTATTTATTTGGTTGAAATATCACATTTAATTTATTCCTTCTGCCAACGGTTCACTTTCATTTTTTGTTCGTTTGCTATTACAAACTTGCTGCTCTGAACATTCCGGAACGTGCATTTGAGTTTCTCCAGGGGACAAACTTGGGAGAGATGTCACTGGGTCTCAGGGCACACACCTTCCAGTTCCCTAGAGAAAGGCCACTGTGCCTCCCCAGATGTCCTTTCTAAGTCCCTTCATTCCTAAAGGCCTTCCTGGGGAGACCCTCTCACCCGTGCTCCCGGCAGGGTACCCCCTTTCAGCCAGGACTGTCTGTGTCCCCGCCAAGCTCCGGGCTGTGGCCTCAGGCATGCTGTGCCAGGGTCTGCCTGCGCCCACACTGAGCAGCCCATCTGATGAGACACTTGCCCCCGGCTGGTGCGAGAACATTGCGAGATCTGGGTTCAGACCCCGCACTCGGCCTGTTTCCTCCACAAACGGGGTGACAATGGCTGCCCACACGGGTCACAGTGAGCTGATGACATGTGTAAAGTACACTATCAACACTATGGCTTCGTCCACGTTTAAACTAAGTCCCTCTGCTCTCAGACTCAAAAGGCGATGCCCAGATGCCTCTCCTGGATCATCACCCTGGGGCTGGGACAGGCCCTTGGCACCGATCTCAGGTAGTGACCTGGGGGATGGGTGGAGAGCCCCCAGCTCTCGTCCCCCAGGTTACTACCTGAGATCAAACACAGACCGGTCAGGGGTTTGGGGGGGCAGGGCCCCGGGCTTCCCTGGGGATGACACGCACACTGCCTGCCGTCTGTGGGTGCTCAACAGGGGTTTCCAGGCGGCCCAGGTAAAGCAGGGAAGCTGCACGCGGGCTTCAGGGCGGGGATGCAGAAGTGCAGGCCTGGCGGACAGAGGCAGGTGGGCGGGGCAGCAGGCGGGGCCGGGGCGTGGCCTGAGGGGGGCGCGTGCTCACCGGTGTCGTGGATAAACCTCTCGATCTTGGCCTGCATGCCCCAGTAGCGGAACTCCACCTTGCACAGCTTATAGGCGCACATGAGGGGCGCCAGCTGCTGCTTGTGCTCCTCGATCCAGTTTTCGGACAGCGGCCCCCGCTGGGTCTTGGTAGAGTGGAACAGCTTGGGGTCCTCTTCCATCCTATACTCGTTGGGGGGCACGGGGTCCTTGACGATGTCGATGAAGTCTGCAGGGAGACCCGCGAGTGGCCGCTTCCGTCCGCCCTCCGCCCCGCCCCTCCCCGTGTCCCCGCCGCCCCCAGCTCCCTGCGGGGAGGGGGGGGG